TCCCAAACACGCTCTTATTCATATCCAAGGAGCACAGTGTCCACGAGTAAGCAGTTGAGCCACGTGGACGGTCGGATTCAAAACGGAGGAATCTTCGAATCGAAGGAGCCGAAACAATTATTCTAACCACGATTAAACTTAACCACGGTTAACTGCCGCCATTATATTATTCTGTCACTGAGATCAAATTTCCTTTTCGATGTTTCTTTCTTTCCACATATATACAGACAAAAAATCGTAGGAAAAAATTCAAAAGCGCCTTCGTTTATGAACATGGGGATGCTACTGAGTTGACACGGAGTTCCCATTTTACTTGATCCAAGTAAGTCCTTCGTTTAACACTTTCAAGGGATTTTTGTTAGCTCTCTTGCAACTTTATCATTTTTGAGGAGGAGAGGTGTTCAATTTACTTTATTTGCTTGTGGACTCAAATTTCTTGCTTTTTTGGAACTCTTGTTACTTGAAGTTGCTATTTACTATTGATTCAAGATATATATAGTTGCAAACTTGCACTTCAGCTTAGTTGAAATTGTGGAATACTGAAATTATATCTTAAAATTTTCACTGTTTTTACTAGAAAGAAAGCTAGAGTTTTGAGCAAGAAATCATGATGGAAATTCACAGTTCCTCGCCAAACGGAGTGTCACCTGAATCTGCAGAAGCCACAGTTTCTACTTCTGAACATCAAATGGTAGCTGATGAACCAGTGACAACAGTGCCCATAAAGAAACGAAGAAATCTTCCTGGAATGCCTGGTAAAGAAAAGTGCTCCTCAATTATCGAAGGATTCTTTTTTAACCAGGATGAAAAGGTTGAAGTATATTGAAAATTTATATTATTATCTCTTGGTGTTGTTCAGATCCAGATGCAGAAGTGATAGCTTTATCACCAAGAACTTTGTTGGCAACAAACAGATTTGTATGTGAGATCTGCAACAAAGGATTTCAAAGGGACCAGAATTTGCAACTCCACAGAAGAGGCCACAACTTGCCATGGAAACTCCGGCAAAGAACAAGCAAAGAAGTAAGAAAGCGTGTTTATACATGTCCGGAAGCCACCTGTGTTCACCATGACCCCTCAAGAGCCCTAGGCGACCTCACCGGAATCAAGAAGCATTTCTGCCGGAAGCATGGCGAAAAGAAGTATAAATGTGAACGATGTTCAAAAAAATACGCCGTTCAGTCGGATTGGAAAGCCCACATGAAAACCTGTGGCACCAAACAGTACCGTTGTGATTGTGGCACATTATTTTCCAGGTAAATTTAGTTCAACAAGGTATATAGCTGATTAATTATGTTTGTTATTTGTATTATTAATTTCTCTGTGTTTGAATTAATAGGAAGGACAGTTTTATTACCCATAGAGCGTTTTGCGATGCGTTGGCGCAGGAGAGTGCGCAATCTCAACCGATGGTGATTACAAACTCGGAAGGCGATTTGAATGTTCAGAATGTTCCGGCTGCGGCGGTCAAGCTTCCGGAATCTAGTCCCCCGCCGCCACCCCTTACACCATCTACTGGTGTATTATCTCCGGTTCTGTCCATTCAAAGCCCAGGTGAAGTTCTGCAGCCATACACTCAAAAGTGGTTATTTGTGTTATTATCTCTGATTTGTCTACATTGTACATGCCGAAACAGCATGTCATGAAAATGCCAGACGGCTATTATGGGTCTGTTTTTATTTGAAGGGTTGTTTAACGTTTGTTTATTCTTGGATTAATTAAAGTTAAAAAAGTGGTTGTTCATGTGATACACGATGCATATACATATACATATACATATAGAGAGAGAGAGAGAGAGAGAGAGGGTGGGGTGGGGTGCATTGGATTGTGTATTGTTAATATAGCTCAAAGATCGAAGAAAGATTTGAAGGAGATACATTGCGTGATCTGATGATTGAATCTGCCTTTTTTCTCGAAAGGTCTCTTTTTAAGCTCATTTACTCCTTTTGTTGATTTTGAGTATTTTTTTTTAATGTGTTCTTTTCTTGGTATCAGCAGAATTGCCAGAAAATCAAACAATGAAGCCAGTATCGGCAGCTTTATCTCCATCGGTCACCACTACCAAAACAACCGCCGCTACCACCACAGTGGCCGGCGGCGGCTCTGCCTCTAGCGGTAATGCCGCCACCACCAATGGAGTATTTGCTGGAATATTAACTGGGTCAGCATCTGATGAACTCTCTCAATCATCAATTCAACCATCATCGTACTCGGACCTGTTATTTGCTATGGCGGGATCAGAGCGTACCGGCAACCCCATAGATTCTATGTCACTCTCCCTTTCGCCGGCTTTATATCTCTCCAATGGTGCATCATCTTTATTCTTCCCAACATCGCATGATCACCAGAGGCATTATGCATCAAATCCACAGCCAGCATTATCGGCAACTGCTTTGCTTCAGAAAGCTGCTCAGATAGGTGCTACATCATCGAAGTCCTCGTTTCTTGGATTGGCAATGTCATCTTCATATGATCCTCTAGATAATGCCTCGACCTCGACCATGGCTTCTAGTACCACTGGCCGCACAATGCTTTGGAACAAACAAGTGAAGCTCGAAAACAATTTGTTGGCATCTGGGATTGGTCTCAGGCTCCCCTCTAGTAGTACTACCGGATCGAATGACTTGATGTTGGGGCAATCGACGCTCTTTGACAACAATCCGACTACTCTTGATTTCCTTGGTCTAGGAATGGGCGGTAGTGAAGCCTCCCCTGGTGGATATTCGGCCTTCCTAACATCGATTGGAGGTGGACTTGATATGCCGACTACTTCATTTGGTGGCACAAACTCGGCTAGAGAAACTTGGGACGATCCGTCGGATAGGAAGCCTTCTATGCTACAATGAGAGTTCATTTATTTCTACTTTTTTTCGTTTCTAGCTAGTGCTTCGATACATAATTTTTAGCTCATTTTATGTCTTAGGTTTATTACTAGGGACTTGAAAGTGGGAACTTGGGTATATTATAGTAAGTTTTGCGACTGTACACCTTGACATGCAGCCCCCTCACAATGAGGGTGCCCATGCCTAAAATCGAGAGCAGGTTATGAGGACCAAGGCCTCGTGTACACAGCAAAATTCATTATAGTAACATTGCAGTTGTTTTTAAGCATATTCTCTAGTGTATTATTTGTATGAAGAAACGAGATTCGGGTTATGCAGTAGTCTAGTAGAAGATCAGGGAGGCCGGGCTGGGTATATGTGGCCCCAATAGACAGTGACGGGGCGATGAGCAGTCAAATCTGGGGTTAATAATAGAGTTTATGCACAAGTCACCAACCCCACCAATTTAATGCACCTTCTCGTGATAATCATGAAATCCTTTTGCTTCTGGTCAACTCTCTATGCGATGAATTTTGCACACTGGTTTGGGGCCACGCTTAGATTGGCGATAGCGGACCCGGATCTCATCTCAATGATTTTGACGAGGGAAAAATTCGTAAATAAAGTGTATTCTGTACACAAATTCAAAAATCAAGTTTATAGTTTGAAAATTCAAAAATCAGTTTT